TTTGGTTGAATTGTGAGTTGGTTTGTAGGTGCTAAAGTAGATGTGATTAAGGCTGAGGCAGAAATAGAAATGATAGATCGATTTGGTGAAAAAAAAATATCATTACTTTTGAAAATATTCTTGTCCTTGCATAACTCTGTTAATTTTGTAAATTCTGATAATCCTTTTTGATAGACGAGAGAAATATTCTTCATAACAAGGTCTTTTTGTCTAACAATCTTATTTTCAATATAATTACATAGTTCACTTAGACGGAGTTCATGTGCACTCCACAAAAGAAAAATAATGTCAGAAAAATCAACGCTGGTGAGGTCAATAGTACCATCACCATCATAAATATATCTAAAAAAAAAAATAAATAATTGTTTGAAATTACTGAATGATACTTTTAATATCAATTTTACTCTTTAATTATTACCGGTAATGATAGTATTTCATATGCACAAATTACTATTAAATTTTGAAATCTTTATTTTCTCCATAGCTAACTATTTTTTTTTACTAAGCTAATATACTTTAATTAAAATATAGAAAAAACATTTTTATATATAGTGTAAAAAAGCTATATGTTATATTTTGTACTATTACTATATAGAATTTTCTTAATGTGTGAGGGAAACAAACTTCAAAACTATATAAAAACATAGTAATTTGCGCTATATAATAATACTACTGTGAATTGTTAATTAAAATTTTTTTTACCTAAAAAGAATTCCGAATAATTCGGGAGTAATATTAGGTTTATCAAATAATAGCACCTTGGTAGACATTTTATAAAAAAATTAAATCTAACTGTACATATGTACATAATTTTATATTTGTACAATCATGAAAATCTGAAATTACTGCGGATAATAGACAGTTTTCTCTCTAATTGGTATAATAATTGTGGGGATTATGCTGAAAATAGATTTTGCTGAAAATTAAGGTCTATTTTTAAATCTATAAAACCTACTAAAATTCACATAATTTTTTATTAATAAACAATTATTATAAAATGCACCTATGGTGTTTTACCACATATAATTGTATTTAATAAAATTTAGAGTTAGGGTTCAGGTATTAAGAATTATTTTTTTTTTATATATAATATAATATAGAGCTAATATAAGGCCCAATCTCAATTTTCGTGAGGTTTTTAGGGGTTCTGAACATTTTTACTTAGAGTACCCGATCCCGTTTACTTAGTACGTTTTTGAGAAATAGGGTCCTAGGTGGTAAAACACCATAGTAAAAGTGTCAATAAATATCAGTGATGATGCTGAATTCGGATGATGCTGAAATTTTGAGCTATTTTATTATGAAATTTTAAAAAATTTTCGGGCCTTTTTTTTAGGTTTTTTTTTAGGGTTAGGTTAGGTTTAGGGTTAGTGTTGTTAGTAAAAATGTATATGTGAATTTTAATAGGTATTATAGATTTAAATGGGGACTCTAAATTTCAGCATCAGCCAATT